GCGTTCGTACGCGGAACGTTAGGGAGCACTCGAATCACCGTGCGCACTGGCGCGCGAGCGGGTTTGTCACGTGGTATTTTTAAAGACGATAGTCTTTCTTGGGGACCTTCGGCGCAAAAATTTAAGTCTGTTTGTCTGTCTGTCTGTTCATTTGTCTGTTTGTCCACTCTTACCGGCATCGGGTACTTGAAACGACCGACCTCATCCGCAGCGTCCAATAAAGTTGCTCAATGTTTAGCGTTCTCACTTGTGCAGTTGTCAATTAAAGAGCAAATATTGCGCATGTCTGGGGCCCCATTACAGTACCTCTATAATCTGCATGTGTGTCTTTTACTAGAAAAGGTATACATGTGTAATTTTAAGACCGTAGCGCTTATCATGCTGCGCTGCCCATGCAACGCTTGCACGGAAAGGCGAGTGTTTCCAACGCTTTGCTAAGACGAGACAGTGGTGGTCCCTATCGCGTCGCCTTGCGTTCTACACCTTATCACCTCTGAGACGGGCGCGTACACCCGTCTCAGAGCCACGCGCTTCGTTTTCCAAGAAAACTTCCAGATGGCGCTCATGTCTCACGTGTGACGTGACTTGATGCACTAGTTCGCCTCCACTGCACGCTCGAGGCACTCTAACGCAGCGCTTCTGGAGTACCATTCACCGATTTTGTTGCGCAGAACATCAAATAAAAGTTTTGTTCACTGTCTCCACACGCAAGACTATCGTCTTTCGACGACATTTGCAGGTTACATGCAGATACGGGGCCAATTTTTTTTTTGTATTTCGCGGGCATTTGTATACTTAACAATAAAGCACTAATATTTACCGATATGAATCTCGAAACTGTCTAATTAGACGTCTTGCAAACGTATCTCCAGCTTTCTCATTGAAATATTTGTCCATCTTCGGGTCTTCAAAAGTTAGTTCCTTAAACAGATCTAATTAAACAATATTTTAGAACACAAAAAAAGATTGTCCGACTAACTCCAGGCAACGGTGAGCAACATGCATTTGGTCGCGTCGCAATTCTGTGCGTCGGTATATTTTTTAACTCTGGCTAAAGTTACATGGGGCACCCTGTATATGCAGACTGAAGGGATAACCATTTGGTTGTTAGTCAACGCCGTGGTCTCTTGTGCTTTCTTGTTTCGTTTTTCTAGCGCTTTTTTTCCCACTCGCTACTTGATGAGGTGATCAAAACGGCTGAAAGAGGTCTTAGATACTGCCGTTCCGAAGCGTGCAATCGTATAGTAGCTGTACTTTTGCATCATCATAATCATCATCATAATCATCATAATCATCATCATCATCATCACAACAACGAAGTGTGCTGCTCCGCAGGTATGTATACCTTATGAACGCGTATCGGAGTCTTCGCGACGTCGTAAAATGGGATCTTTTACTGCGTATAGAGTCTATCTGGCGACTGTATTTTTGTGCTACAGTAGCGAGGTACATTGTAAAATCTCACCGGCGTCCTGAGAGAGTGTACAGCGTGAAACGTTGTCCGTCAGCTTATGCCTCGACTGTGTTGTGCGTACCGCGCGGACCTCGTTTTTATGTGTGCATCTGTTTTTACGGAGTGGCGCAGATCAACCAAGCTATCGCCGAAAATTACCTTTTAACGCGATTTCGTTAATTAGCTCGTTTTGCTAAAATTCAGGCTTCGGCGTTGTTGTTTGTGATAGAAAAATCATCAACTTGTCCATGACCGAAATGATTGAGAAAGATGCACATAAAATAAATAATGAAAATTGCCAGGTCCGAGTGAGTATCGCACACAGGCTGTCTACGCGGCAAGCGGGTGTTGTAACAGTGAGCAACAAAGTAATTTTTGAATCTAGCTACTTTGGAAAGAAGCATATATGAACGCCATGCAGTAGAAAAAGTGTCCACAGCGAATCTTGTACTAGGTGGCAGAAGCGTATAATCGTACCAGGCGTTAAAACATATTCAGCAACGAGTGTGTGTTTTCAAGGCCCACCCATTACAAAGCGCTCAGACACATTTAATCATCATCAGCAGCAGTAGCAGCAGCAGAACCATGAACAAAGTGAACAGCTGCGTAGGTTAGCGTGTTCTTCTACGGATGCATAGTGCCATTCACTCATTCACAACGAGGAATAATTACCAACTTTGTTCACAATGGGCATTCAGTGATACCTTGAACTGCCAATATTGCACCCACAGTAGTTTGTCTTACTGCGTGGTTGAGGTAGTTGAGGTATGCACCGAGAACCGAAGTAGGCTAGCAGTTCAGGAGGCGGTGCGCCGTAGGCCCGATTACGCTATCGCGATCTACTCTCGAAGGCGAAGCTGAAGCCCCCCCCCCCCCCCCTATTTTTTATTTAAAAGAGGAGAGGGGTGAAGAGACATACTCGAAGAATTCCCCGTCGTAGGCTAACCCAGCGTACCTTTTTTTGGATAGATCTGGATAGTTGGCGAACAACAGCTCACCTTGGAAACATGCGCCTTCAAACTTGTTTTCGCCGATGACACAAAACGGGGCTATATGCTACGTGCTATGTTTCTACGCAGTGGCGGCTGGGATGATAGGCCTTCCATTGCTAAAACCAATGAGCGTAGCGTTATCTGGACAGCCGCAAACACACACACACGAAAGAAAGGTGACGGATGAAGCGTATACTTCCCGCCACCTGTGTTGTGTCCGTCGTTCTAACGAATTTTTGTTATTTTCGATAGTGAACCGACTCACCCGAGAATAACTTTTATTCAAATGAATCATTTAGGCAAAAATAATCGAACATTCTGCCAATTAAATGAGACTTAAATTCGATGCAATCGACAATTGAGCCCGCCAATTTCAGTAAATGACAAACTTTAGCATTTTCCACGGAATGTCCTGCGTGGGGCGGAGCTTTGACGACGAATAAAGTCTTTTTTTATTATTTTTTAATTACTCCGAGCTATTCTCTCTATTTTCTTTTAAAAGAAACGCAGTATAGGAATTACGGATGACACGCTAAGTGAATGATAACAGAGTTAAATGAGTCGTAATCAGTGACTATGCGAGACATCGCCCTGTTGCCTTCACCTTGCCTGAATAAAGTGTCAGGATAAAAATGAAAGCTTGAGCGAGTTGGTATGCGTTAATCTTTGTCGGTGATCACGATGACGATGTCCTGTGTATACCGTCGTCCCTTGTGCGCTGTATGAACCAGGATAGCGTCAGGAATTGCCTGACATAATTAGGGCCTCAAATCGCTTAGAAAAGTGTGTAACGTTGCACTGCTATAAACACGATGTGATAACGACACATAGAAACACAAGACACACTTATCGACGCACAGGCGCACACGACCGACGGAGCCTGACATGCGTGCGTACGTTTTGATCATTGTGAACGGTGCAAATCGATACTGCGTAACATCCAGGTCACCCAACAGCTGCGTGCCTGTAGCGTCTACCTGCTACTCGAGGGCGATTACATGCACGACTATACGACACGTGCGGCTTATATACGAACGTACAGGCAGGCGTAGACCCTGAATAATATTTATAGAATGTAATTCTGTGTCGTACAGAATAACTCGATCTATTAGCTTGTTTGATCTGTGTCAGTTATGGGTTCAAATCCCGGCTGTGGTTGGCTGCATTTCCGATGGAGGCGGAAATGTTGTAGGCCCGGGTGCTCAGATTCGGGTGCATGTTAAAGAACCCCAGGTGGTCGAAATTTCCGGAGCCCTCCACTACGGCGTCTCTCATAATCATATAGTGGGTTTGGGACGTTAAACCTCACATATCAATCAATCTGTGTCAGTTATAGCCGAAATCTTTAACGATGCAAAACGGGTATGGAATTAGACATGGCAGTGGCTTGCTTATGGAGGTATTGAAACGCCCCCAGAAGTAATTATTCCACTATCTTGGGCAGTATCGTCAACTCTGCAGAAAGGCGCGTATCCTTTACCCCAGAAGTAAATACCTGAGCAAGAATGAAGTAGGTAGAGCCTAGAGACAAATTTCCGATGGAAATGGTATAGTCATGCACGTACTGTCCTTTGCAGCTCTTGTGCACATGATCCCAATGCGACGTCCCAGGTTGTGGCGACATAAGTTCATGGAGTGCGCATTATGTGTCACATACACCAGCTCATTAACATCGGTGCTACCAGGGAAGGTGCTCAAGCAACACCAGTTTACAGTATAGTGTGCACGGAATCACCGCCGAGCCCTGCAGTGCTGGTGTAGTGGCTATGGCGCTAGACTACTAACGCGAAGGTCGCGGGGTCGAATCCGGTTGCGGCAGCTGCATTTTCGAAGAAGGCGTAAGTGTTTGTGGTTTGTGTACGTATACATTTAGGTGCGCGTTAAAGAACCCCAGGTGGTCGAAATTTCCGGAGCCTTCCACTATATGGCGTTTTCGAAATCATATCGTGGTTTGGGACGATAAACCCCGGATATTATTACGGTACCACCGCGGTCAGCACACCGTCTTCTTAAATTATTGGCCACGCAAGCTGCCTATATATATATTGGCTACGGAAACATTATTACATCATTAAAATGTGCAATAGGGGTCATTTTTCGGAAACTTGAAAAGCTACGTGCCTATTACGTCAGTACGGTGTTTTTGTATTTACCGTACAACGGGCTCTTTATTGAGGAAAGGGGAAAAGAGGAGTAAATAGTTCTCAGAGTACAACTTCAGAGGTACCCAGCCACCCTTCTCGCCAAAAACTACATGTCTATAACCTACACCCTGAACAATAGCGAAAGGGTCCGAATGAGTAAAAGCATGTGACAGACTGTGCACCCCCATTAGATACTTAGGAGGTGGTGCTTCCCCCCCCCTCCTCTTGTGTGCACACCTAAGGGTATTACCATCACATTTGAAACAACCTACCCTCCAGACAACATGCATTACTCCACGCAGCGGATGCGTTCTGCACACGCGAAGCAGGCTGATGCGACGTGTGCATCTGCTCTCGATGTTCCAAGCGAGGCAAAAACGCAAGTCGCAAGAACGAGACGACTCAGGCGCGTAACAAAACAATCGTTTTTATTTCAACTTGGTGTGCATATTATAGCAAAGAGGACTAGAATGATAAATTACAAAATATCGTGTATTTCTAAAGATCCCTCAAGCCTGTCGGACGGTATAAGACTGAAGAAGACGAGAAAGAGGTCGCGAGAAAAAAAAAGCCACCCAACCGAGACGTCCAACTCGCCGACAAACGCGTGATGAACTCCTCGGCTACCCAAGTATAGTATATGTTATATCTACTATATCTTCCTCCTTGCTATAATATACATTGTAACAAAGTAACAAATATGTTGCACGCATTCTCATCGCGATGAACACAACCACTCCCGGAGACGACGAGTGATACAACACGCCTCCGCCGAAGCACTCACACTCACGCGCGCACAGTCACCGGCACTCGCCGAATATGGCCAAACAACACGCATGGATTGGTATCTTACAGATCCGCTCGATTCTAAGACGAGGAAGAGAGAACTGGAGCGAGACAAGAGAGAAGCTGTGATTGGAGCGTTGCTAGCGTCTTATTAGTAGCTGGGGTACTTGAGCTGTTCGTTGTCCGCTCCGCCGTTGCCGTTTCCGTTGCTGTCGCCGTTTCCGTTGTGGTGCGGGGATGGCAGGTCTGGTGCGGCAGTGTGACCGCCGTGATGGGCCGGGCCGTCACCGTTGACGTAGTCATCTCCACCCGTCGCATAATCAGCCGCTGTCGTACCGAAGCCCACGCCGTGCTTGCCACCTCGATGGCCTCCTCCGCCACCACCGTATCCGGGCCTGCCGGCGTCGCCGTAGTCGTCCTCGTCACTGTCGGTCAGATCAGCAGAACCGGGACCACCATGCGTCGGTCCACCGTGGTGAGCGGGACCGGTGGTGCCCCCGTGGTGCGGCCCGCCGTGAGTAGCTGGCCCCGTGATTCCTCCGTGGGGCTGCGGCCCTCCGTGAGTTGTGGGGCCCGTGAAGTCTGAACCCGCGGTGCCTCCGTGGTGTGGTCCGCCGTGTCCGAGGTCTCCGTGTGTAGGACCGCTGTGGTCCAGACCGTTGGGACCAGCCGGACCTCCGAGCGTCGTGTGCGTCGGACCAGTGTGGTGCGCGCCGGCTTGACCGAATCCGGGAACGCTGTGCGTCGTGTGAGTGGTACCAGTGTGCGTCGCTGGTCCGTCGAATCCAGCACCAGCGTGGTGCGCGGGACCAGTGTGGTCTACTCCTGCGTGAGGGACGCCCGTCGCGCCAGGGCCCCCGTGGGTGAGGCCACCAGTGTGACCATTGGTGCCATATCCGGGAGCTTCGTCCGTGGGGCCACCGTGAGCAGGTCCCGCGTGACCACCGAAGCCACCATTCGGGACGTGTCCATTAGGAAGCACTCCGATGTGTCCCGGACCGTGGTGGGTGGGACCAGTGTTGGGAGCCCCAGGAGCTCCTGTGAATGATCCGGAAGGGGTGGTTGCTGGTAATCCACCAGTTGTATGTGGGCCTAGGTGTCCCGGGGTCACGCCAGGGCCTTGCTGCTGTGGTTCCGCCGCGCCATAGATGCTTCCCGGGGCACCTCCCGCAGGGCCGGCGCCATCAGGTCCGACGTAAAGCTGGGAGTTGAGGTGATACAAAGAGGGCGTTTCGTCACACTCGAAGTTGTACCACCAATCACACACGAAGAACCTCTGGTTGAAAACGGTGCCGTTGGGGCACAGGAACGCGTCGTGTCGGCCATCTTCTTGACAAATGTGGAAGACCTGCGAATAGGCGGACGTTTTTTTTACAACATGGCGGTAGCTGTACACAGCGCCAAATGAAACTGATCAATGGATACATATTCGCAGATGCCAACAGAATGTTGGCAGTTCCTTAAAAAGTACGTTCTACCTTTCACACCGACACTAACCTTAAAGGGGCCCTGCAACACTTTTTGAGCATGGTCAGGAAACGCTGCCTCTCGGTAGTAGAAGCTCTCGACAACACGCGAGCCAAATATTATAGCACAGCACGCTGCCTGGAAGTCACAAATTATCAAAGTCGGCCAAAAATTGCTCTTCTCTCGACAAATCACCTTATATGTCCAAAAATCACGCGTCAACGACCCATCTATCAGCCATTGACTGATTTGAACATGGCGCCCTCGCTCGTTACAGAGGTCGCCGCGGGAGGCCGCTACTTGTCCATGCGTGCAAGCGCAATCACATTAAAAAAAAACCGCACATTCAAAAAAAAAAAGAAAAAAGAAAGTGCTCGAGGTCGCGAAGCGCGCGTGACGTTTTTCCGTGGCCCTGCCATCCCTCCCTGCTTAGCTTCCAGCGCTCTTGTCGGGACGAGAGAAGAGAGAATGCAATCGCAGCATGCGACAAACCTTTGTAACTCCACTCGCACTGGACAGATTCTTAATTTTTTTTTTTGCAGTGTTGAATTTGCGAGACAATAAGCTCTTACAGTGAATTCACTCCATGGTTACTTGAAAAAGTGTTTCAGGGCCTTTTGAAGCTATAGAAAACACTTTTTAAAGACTGTTTCTATCTGTAACCTTCAAGTATGCCTTCAACGATTGATTGATTGATTGATATGTGGGGTTTAACGTCCCAAAACCACTGATGATTATGAGAGACGCCGTAGTGGAGGGCTCCGGAAATTTCGACCACCTGGGGTTCTTTAACGTGCACCCAAATCTGAGTACAACGGGCCTACAACATTTCCGCCTCCATCGGAAATGCAGCCGCCGCCGCCGGGATACGAACCCGCGCACTGCGGGTCAGCAGCCGAGTACTTTGGCCACTAGACCACCGCGGCGGGGCGTATGCCTTCAACGAAACAGGAACATCTTCCTTTATTCTTGCTGCTATTGTGCACTTTTTAACACTTTATCTGATAGATCATGCAGGTGAATATACAGAGTACCTAATCTTATTGAAATCTCCTTTACCTTGTTGTACACAAAGAATGCTCAAGAAAACGCGAATACAACGGCTCACACAGTTTGAGCAGTCAAATCGCATTTCATTTTGCGTCAGAACTTCACAATGCTATTCACGGACATTGAAGGATAGGAACTCCTATCATTTATTAGTTAATCGTTAACACCGTACAACGTTGCATAGATGTGCTTCCGCATACGTTCCACTCCACTTACCGCACATGGCCGAGAAACGAAAAGTGTTAGCTATTCTTATATATATATATATATATATATATAATATATATATATATAATATATATATATATATATATATATATATATATATATATATTGAAGGTGAATAGTAAAATACAATGAAACCAATGAAAGTAGACTTGCAATCAATTCCAGCGCCTAATGACAATAAAAAATGCGTAACTCTCCCACCTTATTGTTAAGTGAACTCGCTGAGATACACTTTACTTACTTGGCACTGTGCGTCCATGTCACCGTAGTACCCAGCATACTGCTGTTCTCCACAGCTGAATCCCCGTGCGGGGAATGGCACTGTAGGCAGGGTAGTCTTGACCGGGTGTTCCTCTGATAGCTGGCCAGGACTGGCCATCTTGGCCATCACTGCCGTCATCTCCGTGGTACTGTCCATCGTCATGCGGAGCACCACCAACGTCTTGCTGACCGGCGTGAGGACCACCGTGCGGACCACCGTTCGGGAAGCCGTTTGGTAAACCGTTGGGTCCTGCAGGAGGAAGTGTCGGAATCTTCGGTAGGTCGTAGTCGGGAGCATCCGTAGGTGCGAAACCAGTGACACCGCCATGTCCACTAGCATGTCCAGCATGCGGCTGCCCTGTGAAACCATGTGACGGAGTTACACCTGGTCCTCCATGGCTTGGTGCGTCGGTGGGCCCGCTCGTGACTCCGTTCACACCGAAGCCTGGTCCTTCGGGTCCAGCTGGTCCACCTGGATGGTCTCCGAGCCGGGCCCGGTCGTCTTCAAAGGTTCGAAAGTCGTATCATGTCCGGCACCACCACCGACAGTCGGTCCCGTGTGTCCTGGCACGGGTGGCGTGTAGGCGGGAGCAGGTCTGTGACCAGGGTGGTGCACTCCGTGACCAGCATGGTGTCCGTGAGCCGACGGAGTTCCGGTAGCCTTAAATGGCTCGAAGCGATCACCCGTGTGATCACCACCAACCGTGGTTGGAGCATGACCAGTGTGACCGCTGCCTGGATACGCTGTAGTGCCGGTCGTGTCGTCATCGCCGCCGTGTCCGTAAGGTCCGGATGTCACGTGATGCGGGCCAGTACCGTGGTGCGTTCCCGTTCCGTGATGAGGGCCGACCGTGTGGTGCGGAGCACTGGTTCCACCAGTATGGTGAGGACCTCCAGTCTGAACGAGGTCTCCAGAGTGAAGAGGTCCACCTGTGTGGTGCGCCACTCCGCCAGTGTGGTGAGGAGCTCCGGTGTAGTGAGCTCCATCAGTATGGGGCCCTCCGGTGTGGTGAGGACCACCAGCGTGTGGCCCACCAGTGTGGTGATATCCATCAGTTAGCGGTCCTCCGGTGTGGTGAAGGTCGCCAGCGTGTGGCGCTCCAGTATGGTGAAGTCCATCGGTGAATGGTCCTCCACTGTGATGAAGGCCACCGGCATGTGGTCCACCAGTATGGTGAGGGCCATCTGTGAGAGGGCCACCGGTATGGTGAAGGTCTGCACCGTGAGGCCCATCAGTGTGATGAGGTCCATCGGGGAAAGGTCCAACAGTGTGGTGGAGGCCACCAGCGTGTGGCCCGCCAGTATGATGGGGTCTATCGGTGAGAGGCCCTCCTGTGTGATGAAGCCCTCCGGCGTGAGGACCTCCAGTGTGATGAGGTGCTCCGGTGTGGTGAGGTTCTCCTGTTAAGTGCGGAGCGCTCGTGTGGTGTGGTGCGCTGGTATGGTGAGGCGCCTTAATGTCAGCACCGTGTCCGATGTGACCATTAGTGGGAGTGTGTCCGAAGCCATGGCCATCCGGTCCTGTGGTGTCACCGAAGCCTCCCGGCTTTCCATGACCGTAACCACCATTGGGTAAACCACCATCACCTCCTCCATGGGGCCCCGGCAGGTCTCCGGATGAGTAGTCACGCTCGTCTCCATAGTCGCCCGGAATGGGTGTGGTCGAGCCGGAAATTTGGTTAAGGAGCTCGTCAGCCCCACCGTAACCGCCGGGCAGCCGCTGCGCAGTAGAAAGAAAGGAACGCGAAAGCCTCATTAAAAGTTGAGCTGGCGGCGACAAGAAATTGTGCAGGCAGCATGCGGAAGTATATGATCCGTTAAATACCATGGCTTCAAGCATCCACTCTGCTATTTTCCTGCTGAACTTACTCGGTAATCAAATGTCTGAACGTTGATGGAATGCTGATCGGAAGTTGCTCTTTTGTGTATGGTAACTGATTGTGAGGAGCTCGAGCAACAATTCTCTGGGTTAATGACGCTCACTGGGTGCTTCTTTTGTATGCAGAAAGCAAAAAAAAGAAGAGAAAAAAAATCCCCTCGCTGAATCACATACTCGGTTTTTTATGCCTTCGTTGTCGTGGGCCCGTCCGTATACCGATTAATAATGCATAAGCGAGCCGACGATCGACGGCGTGCCGGAATAGGTTCCACGAGCAACGACGATTGAGCAAAGAAGGAAGCGAAGCGTACACGAAGCGCTTTGCAGCGCGGACGCACAGCAGATAGACGTGCAAACGGTGTGTGTAGGAAGCCTGTGCCCTCAGATCGGGGCGCGAGCCACTGCCAGCACGAGCGATGTACTACGAGCGGGTTTCTTCAAAGGTCGCCGTGACTCCCTCACTTCGTGCGTGACCGGAATCACCGCGTACGGTAGGCATTCGCTGCCTGACAGGCTCGTCCTCGCCAGAGCGTTTCTCGAGAATGACACACGTTACGGAGGCAGGTAAATAAAGCATCCAGGAAAGGTGTGACTGTTTGAGAGCGGTCAAGAAAATGGGCACACATCTTTTACCTTTGGTTCTTTTTTTTCTGACACCAACCGCGAAAAGAAGTGTCCACATATTTGGAAGAGGCAAAAGAGGCAGCTCATGAAGAGGAGCTTTTTTTTTCCCCCTCTGTATCCTGAAGGAAACTTCATGGAGCGCGAAAAACGTTCCACAGAAAAGAAGGGCTTCCTCCGATGCATATATGATGTAAGCGAGACGCACGATTTCCAGCTGGTGTGCACGTTGTATCGTGTTGCGAAAGAAAAAGAGATTTAATAATACACTCACGTTAGCTCTCAGAGCGTCATGCCAATCGAAGGTTTTTGTTGTGGCGTCACTGGCAGTCGCATGACACTACGGCACTTCTTATCTTTTTTGTTTATCTGCGTCTGTTGCTAACGAATCCATTCTTAGACACTCACATACTATCGATTGTTACTGCATAATCCTAGTCTTCATCGCTTGAAGATATGGTCCCCCCATCGGGAATACTGCACCCAATTTTCTACAGTTCAGGCCCTATTTCTGCACATATTAAGACCAGGGAATAGAATTGCACACAGGGAAGCATACAGTCAATAGCAGAGATACCATAAACATTATTTTGACCTTCGTCTCACGTTTTCTTTTTGTTTCCTACATCTGATTGATTTGTGGGGTTTAACGTCCCAAAATGTTTCCTACATCTTCCCCAGTTTGTACATAAAGACGTAAGATAGGGAAACGTATACGAAAACCTCATGTACGCGATTATTATCATAGTATGAAATAACGCAATTTGGATAGCTTTCATAGTGCAGGGCTTACTCAGGGAACCGCGCTGACAGTTCGCAGTGTTCTATAGGGCGCTTCATAACGAAGACAATGCCAAACTAGCAGGCGTGCAAGTTCTGCCGCTGAGCGCGGCAATGCAGACAAAGACTGTCATTTGCGCCCCTGAGAAAGGTTCGGTTGCCCTATTGGCCGTGATAGCTCCGCTTTGTCGTTAAAAGAAAACGAAGAATAAACTCAATGCTAAAGATATTCTCAATGCCGCTGTCACGCGAGCGTGCATATAGCGCATACCAGCGGGTGGCTGGATAGCTATACATACAAGAACGCTGTCCGTCAGTGGAACGTAGTGCACAGGCAGATTAAGCGGAGTTGCTGGATCGGTGTTGTCCTTGCTGTGACAAGATACTCTGAATGTTCTTGCAGAGATGATGTGGGCGTCACATATGCGATCCGAAGCCGCGTATGTATATAACACGACCAAACCACGTGCCCGCATTCATTGCTTCGCCTGACGAGGCCTTCGGCCTTGCCTTGTGCTGGTTTTCACGATACACGCGGCAGATGTCGTGACGACGGTGGTACGTTCTCAATGCGGTTGTTCGTCAGAGTCAAAGAACGCGTGCGCGATTACAAAGCGGATCAAAGTTCCGGTTCCTTATATGATGCGGACTTTGCTCGCTACACGTCCACTGGGGGCTGCTGAAAGGACGCGAACTTAAGGCTTACGTCGAGGGGCCGCGTAGTCTCTCTGCAGGTGGTGGCAGCCAAACTGATTACGAATCATGAGGTAGCGGGTTCGAACTCATTATGAGGCGGGCGCGTTCAAGTGTAAATGAAATTCAAAGTGGCTTTGCGCTGCAGCGCATTTAGATGTACTTAAGAGAACATAGAAAATCACAAAATTACTTCATAGACTTGCGATTGGTGTTTCAAAGCTCAGAGAAGAGCAGTGGACGATCTAAAATCAGATAACCTAAATTTGAGTGTTTCGTGCTTATGAGCACCCCCACGGGCTACGGAAACTGCCAGTATATGAACTGATACCTCCAGTGCTAAATTTACACTCTGCAATTTAGCATTAACAACCAATTAGCCCAGCAACTAGTTCTCTTAATAGGTCAGCTAATCAGCTAGCAGTACACCAGCGTGACCTCTCTTCAAATCGCTGCTACCCTACACTCGGATGTTAAGATTATAATCACACGTAGAAAATTTTTCTCTGACTGGGTATGTTTTCTGCGTGTGGTTCACTATGGGTGCAGATTGCGCAAGGTCCAAGGCCTCGTACTGCCGATCTTGGCGTATCAATGAGGTCTTCTAGCAGAAGCGAGAACGCGGTGCCAGCAGAACGAGCTCACCGCAAATAAGATGTGGTGTTTTCGTCGATGTCTTGATCAGAACAATTGTACTACAACCTTTATACGGACGAGGAAGAAACGAAATTCGGCTGCGAGGTCCGGATCTTCGTCCTTAATCGAGTTTACGGGCAGTTCCGGTGGCCAGAGGTTACGACTGTACCGGGACCCCGCCGTTGCAGCGGCTACACTGACGTTCGTTCAACAAGACGATAAAACGAAGCTGAATAAAGTGTCCGCCTCAGGGCTTTTCTTTTTTTTTCCGCGGTGGCATCCCGTCAGTTACGTGCAGCACTCATGTTGACATGGTGACTCTTAGTGACGAGTGAAATTGTTCGTGCAGTAGCTGTTTCCGTTGTTGTATATGTACACAACGATCTCGTACACTCATGTAATACAACCACAGGATTGTGCAAACACTATCGTAGTTTGTCTCGGTGTTCTCATACCTACAGAAGAACCGTAGTTAAGATACCAGTTCATCAGTGCCTACTCAGCGAGCATGCTCGATCAACTGCTGTCAGCGGACGCGCATGCTGTGGTCTAGCTTGCATGAGTGCCACGTTGTTAAACCCAGCCCCCTGTTTTGTACAGTATAGCCGATTTCAACACACAATATATGCGTTAAAGTTGAAGTCAGAGATTTCGTTGAACTTTCCGAGACTCATATACGATAACCTAAATAACTTTTTAGGGCTCTTATTAATTTAGTCTGATTTTTGGAAGTGTCGTGAAATGAGCGAGGAAGAAGGAGCGCTTTTATTTTTGTCGAATAGACTTGGGATACCGTGATTGGGGCAAGAACGCACACACACAAAAACCCTCAACATCATTCCACTGATATGCGATATACCGACAAAAGTGATAGCTTCTAAGGGTGGGCATCGAAAACAGGGCCCTTATTTTTCA